TGTCCTTGCAATACTTTATCGACGGCATCCGGTACCTGAAATACAGAAGCATCTACGAATGGCGGATGTAAAAGATTTAAAAAGCGCTCTAGTGTACGCCATGAAATTCGAGGCAGCCCAGCAAGCAACTCGTAGAGACCGCCACTCAGAGCTGCTCATGTCCAGGACCAAGGGATAAGTCACTGCTCGTCTAGACGATTAACTAGACAACTCAATGACTTGAACAAGAAATATCAGTGAAAGAAACGACCTTAAAATGTTGGAACTGCGGAGCTGAGGACACATACGGCTGCAGCAATACCCAGGGTACGGAATGTTAAAACCGCTCCTAGCAAGCAGCAGGGAAACTAATTAGTGGCCATCTCGCGGGGCGGAGGTTTGCCAGATAATGAAAAGCCCCAGTTTAAAGCGCTTCAGATTTCTGCAGTGAGGGCGGCAGTAATGGGACTTTTCATAATAGGACATATTAAATGGAGTTCCCTGGAATATGACGATAGATACAGGAGCCAACGTTACCATCATCCGAAAAGATTTGGCTCAACAACTGGGAAGCAAACTCATCTGGACGCCGCCCTGCGTTACCCTCCAGACTGTGTCCCGTGAGAAAATCGACATCGACGGAAAAGTGAGCGTTAACATTACGTTTGGAAGTGCCGTTTACCATCTCACGGCCTATATAGCAGAGATCACTGATTCTTGCATACTCGAATTGGACTTTCTAAGGAAATACAATTTTTCCTTGGACTTTAAAAATAACGAATTGCATTCTACATCTGAGGACATAGCCCTATTCGGAACTAATGATGGAGTGAAATCTATCCACAAAATTAGCTCAGACATGAATCACAATACCGCAAGAACCGAGTTTTTACTTCCTGGATCATAGCCGAAAATAGAAATTTCCGCTACGGCCATCATAGAATATCCCAATAACTGTAATAGCCCGAAAGGAGTACTAGTAGCCTCAACACTCGTCGACCTATCCAGAACGGTTTATCCCGGTGAGAGTCGCCAATGTAACTGAAGAAGGCGAGAGTTATTAAGAAAGGTGAAGTGGTTGCAACATGTACTCCAGTAACCACCGTTGAAAGAAAGAGTAACATCCAAGAATCCGTGTCCTCAGAGAGCATTACATCGGAGTTATTGCAGAATGCGCAATTAAACGATAAGAGAGGATGCTGCGCCGATCGCGTCATTAAAGATCTTCAGTTGTTTTCTCCCGCTCGTCTTCTTCGTGGGTCGAACAGTTTGAACACAACATAGAATAAATACCGGCGATCATCCCCGATCAGCAACATCCCAAGACGTCTACCGTTTGCTAAACAGGAAGAGGTGCGAACACTTTAAAGGATATGGAAGAAGGCATGTTCATCGAGCCTTCACAAGTCCATGGGCATCTCCCATTTCCTAGTCAAAAGAAAGACGGCTCACAGATTTTGCGTTTATCACCGGTTGAATGCGGTTACGAAGAAAGATAGTTATTTTCTTCTTAGAATTGACGACATTCTATACACTTTTTCTGGAAGCAAGTGGTTCTCAACACTTGATTTAAAGAGTGAGTATTAGCAGGTAGAAATACAGCCTGAAGACCGAGAAAAGACGGCATTTACTACGGGACAAGGGCTTTGGCAATTCAAGGTGATGCCGTTTGGACTGTGTAATGCGCCGGCAACATTCGAACGTCTTATGGAGACTGTTTGAAAGGCCTTTCCTACGAAGCCTTCCTAATATACCTGGAAGACATCATCATCATCGTCGGAAAGAGTTTTGAAGAACATTTAGAAAATCTTAGGAATGTGCTTCAGAAACTGAAGGAAGTCAATCTGAAGCTGAGTTCCGCTAAATGAAAATTGTTCCAAACGGAAGGGACTTACCTGGGACATGTCATCTCTGAAGAAGGTGTGCGCACGGATCCTGAAAAGGTATCAGCGGTTAAATCCTGGAAACGTCCCAAAATGTCCATCAGCTGAGAAGCTTTCTAGGGCTTTGCACTTACTATAGGAGATTCGTGAAGAACTTTTCTTCCATCGCAAGACCCTTTCACAATCTGATAGAGAGCAACCAAAAGTTCTTGTGGACAAAAGAATGCGACGATGCATTTAACAACTTAAAGGAGGCTTTAACATCTGCTCCAATCCTGACATATCCTCAGCTCGACCGATCATTTATTCTCGACACCGACGCGAGCAATGAAAGTGTCGGTGCTGTTTTGTCCCAAAAATAGCGGCCAAACGTGTAGTAGAGTACTGGAGCAAGTGCTGTCTAAACTGGAGAGGAATTAGTTGTGTCACCAGGAAAGAGTTCGCTCGCCATAGTCAAAGCTGTAGAACATTTCCATCACTATATCTATACGGCAGAAAATTCCTGCTCCGCACCGATCATGCATCATTTGACCTGGCTTTTAAATTTCAAGAATCGCTGAAGGGTCAAATAGCCAGGTGGATACAGAGACTCCAAGAATATGACATCACTATCCGTCATCGTAAGAGGATCATCACACGGAAACGCCGATGCCCTGTCTAGAAGACCTTGCCCAGAAAGCTGCCGATATTGTTCCAGGGTGGAAGCGAAATACGAGCTGCTGACTCCGGTCGCAAGACAATTACAACATCAACATCGGCTGATCGAGAACCGTGGAGTGATGATGAAGTCAGGAAAGACCAGCTGGAAGACCGCGACATTAAACCCATAATTGATTTAATGGAGTCATCAAACAGAAAACCTACCTGGCAGGACATTTCTATCTGTAGTCCTACAACCAAAACAATTGGGCACTCTGGGATTCACTTCACATTCGAAACGGCGTCTTATACCGGAAATTCGAATCGGATGATGGGAAGACGTTCCGATGGCAACTGATACTTCCAAGATCCCGCATTCCTGATGTCCTTAAAGAACTACACAGTAAGCCCTACAGGGAGGTCACTTTGGAATAATGAAGACCTTACAGAGAGTTGGTGAGCGCTTTTACTGGAATAATGCAAAGGATGACGTGCAAAAGTGGTGCCGATCTTGCGATGCCTGTGCAGGTCGGAAAGGACCGAGGAGACGCAGCCGAGGCAAGCTGCAACGTTACAACGTAGGGGCGCCTTTTGAACGTATCGCCTTTGACATCCTGGGACCTCTGCCACGAACTGCTGATGGCAACAAATACATACTCGTTGTCATTGATTACTTCACCAAGTGGCCTGAAGCTTATCCTATTCCTGATCAAGAGGCTGTTACAGTAGCTGAGGTAATGATACAGCACTGGATTTCCAGGTTCGGAGTGCCTCTTCAGTTACATTCCGATCAGGGAAGGAATTTTGCCTCGGCAGTAATCAAAGAACTATGCAAACTACTCGGCATTGACAAAACTCAAACGACGCCATTGCATCCCCAGTCGGACGGCATGGTAGAGAGGTTCAATCGAACCATCCTTAATAACCTCTCATTAGTGGTTTCCAGAAACCAACAGGACTGGGACAAGAAATTACCACTCTTTTTACTGGCTTACCGCAGTGCTGTCCACGAGACTACCGGCTATTCTCCATCACAGATGCTCTTCGGTCGTGACCTTCGTCTGCCTTGTGATCTATTGTTTGGCCGCCCTCCGGATGCTCCTTCATCGTCTGAGGAATATATTCAAGATCTCCAGGCCCGGTTTGAAGTGATGCACAACTTTGCACGAGAGCGAGTCAACTTGGCGACGGAGAAGATGAAGACCCGATACGACACAAGAGCTACTGAACATCAATTCCACGAAGGAGACAAGGTGTGGTTGTGGAATCCGACTCGACGGAAAGGACTTTGTCCGAAATTACAGTCACCTTGGGATGGCCCGTACACAGTCCTAAACAGGCTGAATGACGTCGTGGTTCGGATTCGTAAGTCTTCGAACTCTAAACCTAAAGTCGTTCATTACGACAGGTTAGCTCATTACTATGGCCATAGTACGTAATGTAAATAGTATAAGACCATGGTCCTTTTTGTTTTTAAATGTGTATTTGATTTGATTTGTATTTAGTATTTGTTTTGTATTTAGTATTTGATAGCATTTGATTTGTTTTATTTAGTGCATTTATTGGTCATGTTTATTATTGTAATGTAATGCTTATTAATGCATTTATGCCACAGTTGTAAGTTTAGCTTCCTGTCCAGGGATTGTACTGCCCGGGACGTGCAGTCCTTGGGAAGGGGGCAGTGTTACGAATTTGGTATTTAAAAAGCTAATGTTAGTTCAATTATAAATTAAATGGTTTTATTTCCCGCGCAGTGCAGCGCGTGACGAATATTAAAAGAAGAAAGCTAAGCCGGAAAATTAAAAATACAAGAGCGCGTGCATTAACATTTAAATAAATAAATATCTCTTTTTGATTTCGAGAAAGTACTGGAAAATTCTCGCGCGCGATTTAAAAATCTTATAAAAGGAGGAAAACATCTCAGTTTGTAGTAGTTGCTTAGTTTGTTGTTGTTTAGAAAACTCTGTTGATTGTAGCGTATTCGCGGATTAGCTTTCTTTAGCTGTTTTGAATTATATTCTATTGGACATTTGAGTAGTTAAAAGATAATTACTGTGAGATATTGTAATACTGCATGATAATTTGAGAAAATTTAAGCATTTTTGTTGTGATAATAATAAATTTTTGTTCATTTCTCATCGGATTTGTGCATTCATTTCGTAACGAACCCGTACGCACGCAACAGTATATTTTTATAGAATTTTTTGGCAAGGTTAGCAAAATGAACATATAAAGTTGGTATCTCAAGCTCTTGGTGAATTGCCGAGTTTCTGATGAACCATCGACAGTTTTGAGTAATAGTATATTCTGCAGTATTTGGAGTTTCTTTACATTAGTAATACTAGCATATCCCCAAATAGAGCAAGTATATAAGAGTAAGGGACGCAAAAGGGTCTTGTAAATGAGTAATTTGTTGTCAAAAGGAAGAACTGAGTTCCGGTCAATTAAAGGGGTAAATGTTCATTTACGGATACAGAACTTGGCTATAATCTGTGTAATATGTGGGATCCAGGTGAGTCGCCTATCCAAAATAATTCCAAGGTATCGGGCTTGCTTAGTCCACTGAATAGGGATCTCGTACATGTGGATGGAGTCTTCGTTATCGATGCTAGTCCTTTTGGTGAACCAGACGGCCTCAGACTTATCCACATTAATCTTTACTTTCTAGGCCTTGAGCCAGGACTCAAGTGTATGGATGTGTTTGGAGTGCTTATATAACTGGTCCAGGAGATGCGATTTTTGAGAGAATTGCCGTGTCATCGGCGTACACAGGGTGGTGTGTGGTGATTGTGGGATATCGTTCGTGTAGTTATTATAGTGAATGGGCTCAAGGAAGCTCCCTTGCGGGACGCCAGTCTTGATAGCCCGTGGGGTAGAGTGTGAATTGTTTACACGAACGATAAAGTGTATATCCTTAATATAGGAGTAGGTGATGGCTATGATGTACTCTGGGAAACCCAGAGTGATGATTTTGTGCATGAGGCCCTCGAGCTAAACCCAATCAAAGGCTTTAGCTACATCGAGGAAGATGGCACCCTTAGTCTGATGGTCTTGGAGGCCTTGTGAGATCAGCTCAGTGACCCTGTAAAGCTGGTGAACAGTAGAGTGCTTCTTACGAAACCCATGCTGCTGTGAAATAATGATGTTTTTTGATTCAGATTCTCTGAAGGATGATGAATTCTGCTACCTTGCTTAGCGAAGATAAAAGGCTGATGGGTCTGTAAGACGATGGCTCCGATGGTGGCTTTCTAGGCTTTGGGACTCGGGTGATGATGGCGGTCTTCCATGGTGTAGGATAGTGGCTCAGGCGTAGCATGGCATTGATAATTGCAACAAGTTTTAAAAGCATAACAATCCCCATGCTTTTGAGCATCTTGTTTGAAATTTTATCCAGTCCAGGACTCTTTCTGACTTGGAGTTTCTCGATATAGCCGTTGACCTCTGATGGTTTGACAGGAGTTATGTTGTTCGTGCATGGCTTTGAGAGAAATTCTGTTAGTGTGCTGGTAACCCAGTGTTCCGGTGGAGGGTGGGAGATGTTGTTTGTGCAGAATTGAGAAGCATAGTGATCAGCTAGTGATTCATCTTTCTCAATTTCAGTGGTGTTAATTTGTTGTCAGCCGTTTAAGGGCGGAATGTTGGTGTAGCATCTCTTTAATTTTGCTGTTGCCTTCCAGATGGAGCTTTTCTCAGCTGATAGGGATGAGAGATAAGTGGCTCAATGACGTTGTGCGTGTTGACGTGTATGAGCCCTGACCTGGTGGTTTAATCGATTTAATGCAGTCTTATCCGCTGGATATCTGTACCTTTGCCATTCCTTGAGGGCAGCATTTCCTTTTTGAATGAGCTTTTTAAGTTCAGGATCTGTGGCTTTTTTCCTGTGAGAAGTAGGAGTGCTGTTGGCATCAAGAGCATTTATCAGATCAGTAGTGAAGCTGGTGACCAATGCGTCTAACTCATCACCTGTGTGTGCTGTTGGAATGTGTAATGTAGTGTTATTTAGGGCTTTGGCATATCCTGTTCAATTTGTAATAAAGGCCTTTTTGTGTGGTGTGCTACAGACAGAGGTCCCCACTTTAATCATGACAATGTCATGGTCAGAGAATAACTCATTAAGAGTTTGGATAGATCATGAGAGGCAGCCTTGGACGAGTCGCATTTTACCATAGATGGAACACTTAATACTCAAAACTGTCGGATGCACTAAAAGTCCTAATGTATGCGCGAACGGTCTTGATCCTGATTGCGTTACTTTATGGTGTATTTTTACCGCTGATTTCATTTCTTTTTTCTTTGAGAAGAACACTCTTTCTAGATGTTCCATCACGCGTGCACGTAGCAGCAGACCTCTTCAGCAGCAAGTCATTCTTGTTTTACAAGAGCGACAATGTATAGAGACTATTTGTTTCTTGCAAGATGGTGCACCAACTCACATTGCCGGGCCAGGGAAAATACTGCTTTGTGCCCACTTTGGAGATGATCGGATAATTTCGGGAAGTTTTCCAACTGCCTGGTCTTCTCGTATTCCGCGCTTGAATCCCTGTGACTTCTGTTTGTGGGTATTCCTGAAAGATAGTGTCTGCGGAGGAAGCGTACGGACTATGCGTGAATTGAAAGCAAGTATAACAACATCATGCTAGTGCAACTGATTTAGAAAGCCTTCGCGCTGCTATTGAACGCGCTATAACACACGTTGAACGTGTGATTAACGCAAATGGAATGCACATTGAACAAATTCCGTGATAAGGTTTGTGTTTCCGGTTTGTATTTTTTATTATTCATGTACCTCTTTCTCACCTGGCGGTCGAAATTTGAACTATTAATTTTTATTCCATTTTTTGTTCCATGGTTCATATAACATATATACCAAGTTTCAACGAAATAGGTATACCAGAACGGGCTCTACGTAAATCTAAATAGGGTAACTTTTATTAATTATAACCATCATGTATATATTATCAAGATAATTTATCGCGATGCTAGATGAGATTTCAAAGCGCTATAGTTTCTTATCTGTAGCACTGCGTCTCAGACCTATTCCTTCATAATCTTGTAATTTAGCGAATAGACTACAGTACCGTGCGCTGTAGCTAGTATACCTGCTACCCAGCCAGTATAGCGGTTAGTAGCTCTGACTCTCGTATTGGTTGGCCGGGATTTGAATACCGGAAGAGATAGCTGTTTTTAAGCGTATAATCTCTGTGTGTGGGCACTCAGAATAATACAACGACCCGAAAGTCCTTTCGAGAGGTTAGTGGTAGGGAAAGAAGGGTGGGAGACCTTCGGACACACCGCCGAAATGTTCTCCCTCAAAACTGCAACGGAACTGCACAGCTAGTGCGGCAAGACTATACTTGTGCAGCCAATGGTAAAATTCTGGTGTTCCGCCTGCTTGTACCTGTAGCGAGTGGTACACCATATCTTTTTTGTAAACCAGTGAGATCGCTTCAGGGTGATCCTTCTTGACAGAGCCATTTAGAAATCTACAAACGTACACCAAAATTTGTTGCGCAAAGGTAATGCTTGATTCAGGAGCAGCAGACTTTTTTTTTTTTTTTTTTTTTTTTTGTTTGTTTTTGTTTTGTTTGTTTTCAAATTTCTTATCAGCAAACTTTGGGAAGAAGCTAATACTGATAGAGTTAGTAGAATGTTTCGTGTAAAGCGCAGAAATCGTTTTAATATGTACCATTAACTTTCAAATAAGTGTTTTTTAACTGACAGTTTAAGAGTTTACTAGAATTCAGTCAGGGTGCTTAAATAGCTTCCGTGCTTAAATAGTATTTGACTATCATTTTAAAATCGATCCATCACCAGTATTTTAATATTTTTTAATATGAATTTTACGTTCAGTGACTCTTTAGTAATATAAAATAGTAATAAAATGTGTTGCAAGTAACCTGGAAAGAAACATTTAATTTTAAATAGGTTTAAAACGTTTTTGAATAATTTTAATTTTCATTCTTCTCTTTATATATACTTAAAATAATAGGAACTTTTAATGTAACCTTGACTTGAATTTTGTAGGAGATAAAATTTTTATGTTTGCTACTTTTCACTTTACACAAGTTGTTGCTTTTTATACATTCAGAACATTTTATTCTAATTATTTTTGATTTTTCAGGTAACTCTAAGCAGGTTTGTGCCAGTCAATTTAGCCATTGCACATGCGCACAATGATACAGATGGAACAGTTTACAATGTGGGAACCAGTTTTGGAATCCAATGTTCTTCCTCCTTCCTTACTCCATCCTATTGCATAATTAAATTTCCTCCTAAAGGTAATTATTATAGATTGACATTTTTTTTAAAAACAATTTGTTTCTATGGACAAATAAGAGTTATTGTTATCGAAATTTCAGCGGAGGAAAAGAACCTGAACAAACAACAGCTGCAAAAATTGCACGTATTGTGTGCTCATGGCTGTTTTGACATATTATTAAGGAACTACTACATATGACGTGATGCGCCTTTTTTTATTATACCAAATTCGAAAATTTAACCTCACGGGCTGGCACGGAGCTTTATTTTATATATTTTGGGGACAGGCATTTACGATTTAATGGAATCCCGCCAACAAAAAAAAAAAAAAAAAAAAATTAAATAATTCATCCTTATTAACACATGTAAATAAATCAGGTGCTTCGCAGAAGTTATAGACATTTTGATTTTCCGAAAATAATGTCAAAAAATTTAAATACGATAATTTAAAATCTCAATTTTGTTTGAAGTAAACATTCATTTAATTTTCTTTCCTACAAGTGAAAGCTTCTTTCCCAGATACTTTTCCTAGAAGTGAAAAATTTACCTTGAAATTTAACACCGGATTTTGAAAGGAAAAATAACATGAAATTGATCGGTTATTTATAAGTCTGCAAATTTTTAAAAAATCTTAAAATATGTTTTCTATGTTGTTGGATTATCATTACTGTAATAAAATGGCCTAATCATTTTGTCGAGGATTCTGCTAAGATTTTAATATACTTCTTGTATAACAGCTAGATATTTTATATACCTTCTTTAGCAAGACTCTTCTGCTTAGACTTTTAATATACTGAAATACTACGCATTTTGGATTATTAAGAAACAGCTAGAACTTCAGATTCGTAGACATATGGAGTTTTTGTCTTTATAGAATTTGGAATTAGTTCCCAGGTTTAGTTTCCAAGATTTTGTACCATTAATTTCAAATTTCATCTTAAAATGTCAATATATTCAACATCATCCATTATAATATCAACAAATTTAATATTATGATTTCAAACAGTGATATTCATAGCTATGTCCTAACTTCTTCTCCGCCATTTTCTACGGTTGGAGTTTAGTTTTGAAGTTCATTTCTGTTCTGCTAGCTAGAAACTGATCATCTTGATCAATGATGCTATATAAGATTCCCTCAAAAATATTGCTTTATTCTAGTAGTCAGAAATCTTATTATTTTAATAGATTTTGAGAAAGATAATTGAAGTTTTATGTTCTTTCTCTAACGTCGAATTTTTAACTTGCCACATGTCCATTATGCACAGTATAGTTGACTAGTGTGTATAATTAAACTAAAGATCAGTCTGACCTTCTATACTGCCGAATGAATTCTTGTCCTGTCTTGAAAACTTATTAAATAAAACCGTATAAAAGATTTATTTGTACATGAACTAGAAATTATAGAATTAAACAATTAACAAAATTAATTCCTCTGCTCAAGGTTGGGCAGCCTCAATGACTCAAAGTATTTTCAAATCAGACAACAAATTGCCAAAAGGCCTAACAAATTGCTTATGCAATTTCATAACTACTGATTTAATTTTAAATCGTAGACAAATTCAACGAGTTCCACGGTACGGTTTTAATGGTCTTTGAAAATTTTTTATGTGCTTAATATTTTGTCTTGCTCTAAAGAACATTTTAGTGGGTCAAAAACTGTTAAATGCTTTAAATTAACCATTTCAGCATCTTTCTAATAGGCTTCACTTTCTCGATTTGCAAATTAAGAATAAAATAAAATTTCATCCGGGTGTACTTGACGAGGCTATGATGACAAAAAAGGGAAACAATTCACATTATTCTTAAAATTTTGCTGAAAAATTGAAGCGGATTGTTTTTCAGTTATTGTCTATAGCGTTTCGATCCAAAATGATTTTAAAAATTTACATATTATATTTATTACGGACTTTCGCTTCCCTTTAAGTAATATCCGTGCACTTTTATGACATAATTTTCTTACTGTAAGGATAAAATATTAACTCTTAAGCTTACTATATTACATTATTTACATTCTATATTTTTATATTTACCTACTGTTATATTTACCATGATACCTACTGTTAGATTTGAGAGTGCTTAGGTTCGTATTTTGCAGCTAAGTCTGTAGATTCTAAATATTGAGTGCCAATAAATCCTTATATGAATTATCGCGATAGAAGTGAAACTTCAAAATTCATGCAGACAAGCACTGAATAAAATGCAACTCAAATCTTAATTGGCTGTACTTAAGCTTTAACAGCCCATTTGATTATAATAAAATTCAAAATTCAGTTTTACTCTAAGAACCACAAAACTGTACCTAATATTAACGAGTTAAACCTTTAACTGCAGCGTACCGCTTTGCACAGGACTTCTCCAGAATCAGCTACACGGGAGAGGATTAAACAGAAACGTTTACCAACAGCTAATTTCTCAAGAATCCATAGCTGCGGTGGCTTGTTCAACCGCATCTAGGCACAGACTCGGAATGACACTCTTCAGACTACAGACGGTTCTAGTAATCTTCTCATACTCCAAACGGTCCCAATCCAGATCTTACCGTCTGGAGCCAATAAATAAAACCTTATTGGGCAGGTACTATCTTACCATCTCTCCGCATTACCATCTGGAGAAAACGAGCTGCGTGACTAAGTGATAGTAAAGATGCAAATTGAAACCCAACTTTTTAGTTAAAATGAAATAAATTGTCACACTTGCCCTTTCCAGGAAAAAACGCTTTGATCACATAATCCTGAAACGGACTTTATGAAACGTTTGAAGTCTAAATTAACGTGTTGTGGTTCCTTTGCAACTTGTGGCACTTTACCTTTCCAATCCTTCCTATTATATTAGATGCACTTCTATTATTCATTAATTTATCTCATTTTAAGTTAAGCTACTTAAGTGCAGTTCACTTGTAAATATACACTAAGACAAGATAAAAACATTTCAATGTAAATTCAACAGCTATATCAAATCAACTATGCAATTTAAGTACTAATTCCAGAAAGGGCAATAGAATAAATTAATTTTTTTTTAAAAAAAAGAAAAAGTAATAAAATGAATATGAAGAAAGGAAAAAATATGTAAAGGGAAAATTGTCTGTCAAGCAATAGTTTGTATTATATATATATATATATATATATATATATATGTAAGAAAAGTAAAAAAGATTAAATTAGCAACGTAAATTTCCCTTCTCTATTCTAAAAAATAGTAACCCCTTTCTGCACTGCGTCATTTCGAGAAAAATCTATGTCCTATGACTCTTACGTAATTCTGGTGATGTAAACGGAACTAAAACTCTTAACAGCCAATAATAATTTTACAGCAATATTAACTGCCCAATCAGAATGTATTGAGAACCAAAACTAACTCAGTCTGAATAAGATTTCACCCTGAAAATAACGCACTTGCTTTCCACGCTTTGGCCTAGCTGCAGTGCTGTCTGTCTGCTCTGCTTTCTTGCTACAAAATTATCAAAAATGTAAGCCTTTTGGAACAGGCACATTTAATGTGCCTACGTGCGTGAGCCGCAACATATTGCTGTAAATAAAACTGATTCCTGCTCCTGGTCATTACTTCAAAGTTTGAATTTCTTACGCATATATATATACTTATTTTAAGTTTTGCCTAAGAGCTCAGAATTTCTAGCTACGCTACTATATGTACTGCTTTTGAGTTCGAATTCACACTGTATTAATCTTGCAAAAACTATAACCCAGACATTAAGAATTGTTACATACAATTACATACAAAGTTGTGTATACAATTTTATACAAGGGTTTTGAACACACAAATTTGAATAACAAGATGAGTTCAAAAATTAATTTCATGTTCACGGAATATGCAGATTTACTATAAAAATTTGATGTGAAGAAAAGGTTCAGTTCACTAAAATTGTCTTTTCGTTGGTTTTATTAATTAAGGCCCTTTTTTTGGGGAGGGACAGGGCCGGTGCAACCGGTGTAGCTGCACCGGACGGCAGAATTCAGGGATGGCAGAGCTTTTAGAACTAAGCCGGACAGGTGACAGCAGGGCCGGACACCCGGATGGCTTACAATGACTACTCGGGTGCTGTCCAGCAGAACTCAGGGGGCAACAAAATTTTTTTAATTAAGGAGACACCGAATTTAAGATCTACAAAATTGAACAACGCGGCAAAAAGCCAGCGCCAACTCTATGAGGCTCACCTTGATAAATTTAAATTATTGATCAAAATATTATAACGTGTTGTTTTCTGAAAGTTGTCTTTTGATCTCTAGAGGAAAAAAATGCCAGCCCTTTTGAGCATGCATCCGTGATTAGCCAGATCCCGTCGTCCAGGTTCTTGAAATTAAGCTACCACCATAGCTTCGGCATGACAGAGAATTACTTTATATTTGTGGAGCAGCCTCTATACCTTTCCATGCTGCGACTGGCGTGGTCGCATTTCGTCGCAGGAACCTACTCTGATGCAATGCACTGGGACGAAAATGAGAAGGTATGATCCTATTTCAACCCCCCCCCCCCCCCCCCCAAATAATCGAAGTCGTTTTCTCAAGAACAGATGGTGATTGATATTTCTTAGGCTATGTATTTTCTAAATCGTGCAGACCTATTGAAAATACGTAAGTCTGTAAAAATTATTTTCTTCTTACTATTATTTAGCTGTTATTTTTTACTCTAAAATTTTATTTGCTATTATTTTTTAAACCCTTTGTTTACCTGAGAAAGTTCTCTAATGTTTAATTTACATGAAATTTCATTTATTTTCGTTTCTAACCGTCTTTATGGGACTCATAGCTTGAAATTAAATTTTAATTCCTCTTCCGTCAATCCGATGATTTTGAAATTTTACACAAATGCGTGTTTTCAGTGGCAATGCAAATCAATTTAATGTTTTTCACATTTTCAAAATTTGGTATACACTTATTTAAAAAGATTTAGTATTGAAATTCTTTCGCATATTATTGCTTATCAATCAGACTAACGTTGCAGAACTTCAAGTCTTTGCGCCATCGAACAAAATGAAAAGTAATCCTGAAGTGAACGTTTTCTTTGGAATACCTAACGTAGCTTACCGAATTTTGACAATTTTCAGAAGTATCACATTGCGGCTGGTAAAATTAACAAACGTTTGGGCTAAAACTTTAATTTATTGTTGTTAACTACCCTGTGCACTCCAAGTGATGATGAGAGCAGACTTTTAAATAAAGAGACATTTTAAAAACTGTAATCTTTAGCCTCTGATAGATCGGATGATCTCGAAAGAAATGTGATGTCTCTTAACTTACTTAGTACATTGACTAGAAGGAAAAATTTTCCTACATTCAGAGTTAATGATATTCGTTCTTTATTATTTTCCGACATATGATTAAAGTACTTAAATTACACTCATGTCCATAAATTAAGGAGAATGGCAAATGAAGGTTCAGAAACAAAACAAATGTGACTTATTCAAAAAGCCCATTTATTAAACAAAAGATAAAAAAAACAAAAGAGATGGTTTATGTATACCATTCATAAAAACTACGATTTATGTTCTCGGGAGCAAATGCAAAAAATATCTAATTTACAAAAACTTAACAATACATGATTGTTATGACAGTTAATACATTGTATGTCTCCCAGAAGATGAAATACATTTCGTGCAATTCGTAGGCATGCTGAGTATAAAATTATCGAGCTGATCTTGCGGAAAATTACTCAGCAAGCAATGCTCTCCGAAGCACCGGTGCACATGTAGGAGGTGCTTGAAGGGCTGCAATTCGTCGTCCTGCACATTCTCTGTAGGATTCAAGTCAGGTGAGAATGCTGGCCATTCCATACGGGTGATATCTTCAGATTGAAGGCATTCCTTTACAATGTTTGCACGGTGAGGACGGGCGTTGTAATCCATAAACACAAATTTTGAGCCCATGACACCCTTAAACAAACGTACATGTTGTTCTAGAATGATGTCTCGATAAATTTGTTCTGTCATAGTTGAGATCTGAACATGCAAATCTGTTCTACAGCCCAGTATAATTCCACCCCAAGCGAGTATTCCTGCACCACCGTAGCGGTGTCGTTCAGTGATGTTGGCTTGGTGCTAGCGGGTACCTGGAGTTCTCCATATGAAATTCCTATGTGAATCAGACTGCAAGCTAAACCTGGATTCGTCTAAAAATATCACACAAGCCCACTGTGACGATTTCCACATTGCATGTTCTCTACTCTAGGCTAGCCGCTGGCCGCAGTAAGTTGCCGTGAGCGGAACGCATCTGACAGACCTGCGAGCTTCTAGACCAATCTGTCCCAAACGTCTGTACATGGTTCGCCTTGAAACTGTCGTACCCGTGGCTGAAGATAACTGATGAGACAGATCTGATGATGTGCTCCTGTTTCTTTTGGCAGTTACTGCCAAATACCGGTCGTCATTTGGCTTTGTAACTCGGAGGAGTGCGACCTGTACTACTGACATTTCCATCATTTTAAAATCGTTGCTAAAGCTTAAAGATGACACTTTGGGCTATTCCAATTTCCTCGGATACTTCCACTTGAGTACGCCCACATTCCAGGCGGCTGATAATTCTACCACGTAAAAAATCATCCGCATGCGTCCTCTGTGTCATAGCTATTCGGTTGTAGCACTGAGAGACTTACAGAACGCCCCTTGTGAACAATTTTACTTCTTTGCTACTATTCCTTGTGTACACTTTTCTTATACTCTCGTCATTGTGACGTACTATCGGCGTCATCTGATGGCTCCCTGTAATTTGCATATTATTTTTAAAAAGATGCGCGATACTTCTACAGGAGAAATTTTTACTTTAGAGTTCGATTTCCATGTGATTCTGAATTATCCTTAATTTGTGGACACGAGTGTATTATACATGCGAAGGAAACCTTTTAAACAACAAAGTTAAAAGCACTAAAACGTTTAGCTGTCACAGTAGTTTTGTTCTTTTGTGATTAAAGATAAATTCTTATGGCTTCCATAGCGTCTGAATTTGAACATTTGATTAAAAGAGTTAATACTCCAGTTATCATTTAATTAAGAGAAAAATGTTATCTTTTTTTTTTTTTTCCTGTATCTCTGATTCTACTTGAGCTCTTCCAGCAGCAGTCAATTTAGAATTAAAATTTAAAATACATTAACTAAAGAAATGCGAACACAGAAAATGGCCATAAATACAAGATTAAATAATATACGCAATACATATAAACAACCCCCTTACAAAATGTATTAAACAAAAAGTAATAAAATATATAAAACAAATAAATAATAATATAAAATTATAAAAACCCGAGTAAGAATCAAATACATACTGCAGACATGAACAACAGTATAAAAGTTCTAGAGGAACTGTGATAATATTTTTTTCTAAATTCAATATGTTGTTCCTTCTCCAATTTAGACTCGCTTCCATGTTGTTCGACGAACAGATGGAAAGCTTCTGGATACCGTTTATGTTTCTAAAGGTTTCTTCGTGTTTCATCACATAAACGCTTATGAAGAAGATGAGCATCTTGTGGTAGATATGTGTTGCTACGACGAAGGTGAAGTGATAAATTCATTGTATGTAAAAGCTCTAGAAGAACTTTTCTCGAATCCAAAATTACCTTCCTACACTTTTGTTTCAAGAGGGAAAAGGTACGTTTTGCCGCTAAGGAAGTTTGGAGACAACACAGTAAGTAAATAACGAATTTTATATCAAAGTATATAATACATGGCGTTAGCAACTATTTTTATTCATTATCTTTTAAATTGTAAATAATTTTTTACCGTCAACTGATCACCGAATTTAGTGCATAATTTAAAAAGTACTTTGCATTTTATATGTACATTGGCGTGTCTGAGACTTCAGTTGGACAAGGTTTGCAGTATTTGGTCACAGCAATATAAAGTACCTAGTACAATTTATAATGGCCGGTGAAGATTATGTATTTTCTGCAGATATCCAACTGAGTTTTAAACTTGGGAAGAGCTATGGAGAAAGTTACAATATGCATATGGTGGTGGAATACTATATAACTGTGCTTAAGCTTCACTGATGGAGATACTTCGAAACGACAATGCACGAATTTAATGAAGCATGTTCAGGCATGTTACTCACGGAGGTCATAGATATTGAGAGTGACATATTATCACGCTGACAATCCTGAAAAACCGCTAATGCCCACTAGTAACAGGACAATGCCCACTTACATGTTGCTACTGTGGCATTGAGAATGGCACAGCAGCAACATTCTCAATGGCATTGTCATTGTCTGAACATTGGCATGGTCTGAATTCAACAGAACGCCTCGAAAATAACTTTCTTATAGTTCAGATTTAGCTTCAGACGATTTCTGGTGAAAACGCAATTGCATAGGAAGAAATTCTTTTCACATGAGGTAAGTGTAAAAACGCCGCAGCGCTAAAAGGCATATCACAAACAGTCTGTTTCATGTTTTTGAATAGTTCATAAAATGCTGAAGTAAATGTAATTCAGTTTGAAAGATTCTGCTGTGAAAGTGAACAAATTATAGGATCCATACACCCATGTTATTCTGAATTAAAAAAGTCAATTTTTGAACTTTTCAGTCAGCCTACATAGAAATAGGTTAAATATGTACAAATATCTATAGAGAGAGAGAGAGAAAAAAAAGAAGATGACAGATAAATAAAAAGCATTTAAATCCATTACATATTTAACCTGGATCAAACTATTATAAAAATAAAAATTGTTTACATTCGCGATAAATAATATGAATAAGAAAACTAGATCAAGGTTGAGATCAGTAGTGAACAAATGCATAAAAATGCGTAAAATAAATATAAAAAAGAGTGCAAATAATAATATAAAATGAAATGTAAAATTTATCATCTCTTGGCACAACGTTGTCAAGGGATTTGTGTAAAGAGAAAGTAAATGGAACAGCTTGTTTCTGGCCTAACAATGATACAAATTTACAGTTTAAAATTTAAATCTTCAATAAACTACAAATAATTTGTCTCCTTATCACTCCAACCTCTACAGTAGCATAACTGCCAATTTTCTACGAGTTTAAAAAATTCTTAATTATTATATAAAACAGCAACAAAACCATTAATGTTGTATTTTTGGAGCATTATGTTGCATTTTTGGTTAAAATACAAAACATGTCGAGCACACAAAGTGTAAATAAACATATAAAATAACAACATATAAGAAAGAACACATGAAACATTATAGAGAGTAGAGAGCAAGAATCGAACCGTAATCTGTAGTTGTATATTCTAAATAAGAAAACAATATTATGTCAAATATTAAATATGAGTTAAATTCGAAAAAACGTTTAAAGTACTCCAAATAATAAATCCATATATTTATTTAAATAATAAATCCATATATTTATTTAAATAATAAATCCATATATTTGATTTAAAATAATACGCCGAAAAACGCTTATTGGAGGAGTAGCATAAGAATTATCATAATATTCATAAATTCGCAGGACTAGTTTCGAAAGCTTAACTACAGAAGAACTTTCTTCTTTTGGTTGTAGAGTAAAGTCCCACAAACTTGACATAATGTATACTTAGAGACTGTCGAGTTTCCGAAAAGTCGAGCATTACGGAGTACGGGGCGTGTTTTTCAGAACTCTTAATATTTAACTGTAAATTACTTTAGAGATTAGTGGCACGATACTGGACACGGAACAGTACAGCATACAATTAAATTAATGTTGATTTTTTTGTGTCAAGTTCTGACACAATAGGAGTCAATAAAATTTTAGGGCTTTCTCTTGTAAAATTGGTCCTGAAATTGGGGGTTCCCTGTTATCTTTGCTGCCTGAAACAAAAATAAAGCGCCTCGATCACTTTTTCGTATTCACCACTTTTCAAACTTTTTCGTTCCTTTAAACTATCCGCACATGCTCTTTTCACACACCAAAACTCGATTTCGAACCTCTTCTTTTTCCATCCTATCAAAGTCGTCCGTCCAACACATAAATAAATGCTAATTTTGTTTACTTTTTCCTCTTTGTCCATTCTCTTTAAGGCATAGTTTCATCTCCATTATCACGTTAGTTTGTCTTCTTTTCTTTTCGAACGACATTTTAATTTCACAGAATATCAAAAGTTCCCAAAAATATGTTAACATTTATACGCCTGGATGTGTACTGAGGAGCGATAACCGTAATGAACTGGTGTGAGTTTACTTTGCAAAGTAAACTCACACAGTAATAAGATGCAGTCACGAAACTTCAGATAAGTCTCCTAACGTTTCGCAAGAATAGAAAGAAATGTGAGCCAGTGACCAGCTGCTACTTGACTTTCTTCGTATCCTCGAAAGAAGCAAACAGCATTGCCAAGTATTACAACATATCTTGAAATTTGTTCTTCAGTTCCAAGATTTAATGGCACAGCGAGAAAACGGAAAAATTACAGAAAAAGAACACTCAAATCTTGGTACAGAATAGGAAAGACATACGCATAAATAATAATTATATATACTGTATGTAATATTTGCTCTGTTTGGTCTAAAGATATCTTAAAAAGTTGTAAAGGTCCCTAAAAAGTTGTCGAGTTCTACGGTATACGAGATATCGGGAGTCGAGTTTGCGGGATTCTACTGTAATATTTATTTTGAAAAACAAAATGTGTATGTTTCAGACAGAGTGAGGACAGTTAATTCATCAGTTTCATTACTCCTGTATCAAAATTGATAAGTTGATGGGTAGTTGACGGGATTTTCGAAGTAACGTGCATGCGAGCAGTTTCCAATCGAAAAACCGCCACGAAGGCATCTCTCGAAAAGTAGACAGATTTCTCATACTTTTTACAATCAGCAAAATAATTCCTGCGTGTTTCAGATGCAGTAAATACACATTGTTTCAAACTAATATATGCACTCGGAAAGAATTGAGCTACAACTACGAAACTCGGCAGCAGTACAGTGTTCGAGGAGATAAACAAATAAGCAAACTCCGGGTCGTAAAAAACATTTTGTTTATGAGTAGCAATACAAAGAATTGGAAAATCAGTAGGTAATAATAGAGTAGGTAATCGGTAGGAATGTGAAAATCAGTGGGTAATAATCTGGAGGTTATACAAGCTGATACTCGGTAGGGCATATTTCTATTAAGTTGCCAAGGTTCCCCTGTGGTAGATTGTGCCACAAATAGAGCAACTGGCCAGTAAGTTGGGATATATCTGTACATGGCTGAATTTACCTACCCAACATGTCCCAAATATGTTCGATAAGCGACAGGTCTATAGATCTGAAAGACCAGTCGAGGATATTAACACGTTGAAGATTTTGTTGCGAAAATCGTGTTAATGTGGCCGAGCGTGTTAATGTGCTAGCAGGTAATGTTGCGAAAATCGTGTTAATGTGCTAGCAGGTTGTCTAGGTCTGTTGAAAAACAGAACCAAAACAGAACCTAGACAACCTGCTAGCACAGGTAGTACGATCGGCTAAAAAATGTCGTCATTGTATCTGCGAGCAGTTAAGAGTACCTCGCAGCACGACAAATGGTGAATGACTGTCGGAGCTGATCCCCTCCTCAGACTGTCACACCGTATATTTTGGCTGTGTGCTGCTTGGTAACAAATGGTACATTGAATCGCTCACCTGTCTGTCTCCAAACACGTATGCGGCAGTCATGAGTAGTGAGAGAAAGCGTGATCACATTTTTTGCAATCGATCACTGTCCAGACCGAGAGCAGCACCGTGCAAGACGACATTGTTTATGATGGAGTGTTAATGGCAAGCGTCTTAATGGGCGTCGAGATTTGAGCTCAACATCACCTAATCTGCGAATCGTAACCCCAGATATTCCGGGATCCTTGCGAGCTGGAAAATGGCTTTGTATCAATGATAGCGTAACTGTTGGTGCGGAAGTGGCAGCTGTTTTTATTGGACTTTTCTCGTACATCGGCGGCCCGGAGTCGTCTCGAGCCTCTTTGGCGGCTGACTATGCCTTCGCTGAGCCATTGGATCCAACAACAAGCAAAGACCATATCTCTTCGACCAGTATGCCACCGATCCGCCTGTTCGACCAACTAGCCTCTTTGAGCCCTATGATGTGACCCCTCACAAAATCTAACAACTGTTCTTAAGGCTGTGGAGTTCGTCTTAAAAGCATCTTTCGTTACAAAGTCATGTATTCAAAGCTGTCAGCACGGTCGTAAATGCTCGTCACTCGCCGCAGCTGCTCTTTACATTCTATCAGTTGCGCAATTCAGACGCGCATTGTATCACTCAACAATGGTAACTGGTGCTGCAAGTTTAATCATTTATACAACTCGCGAAAGTACATTTTGCATGCCACATTTCATAGTTGTGGCTCAATGTTTTCTGGGTGCAAATATTCTTTCTGCAACAGAGTGTAGTTAATGTTATTTATTACACAGTTTCAAATTAAATTGTAAACAAACTGAAAAATGAAGATGATTTAAGATGCGAAAGTCTGTTATATTAGGACCTTTTCATTTTTTTAAAGAAAGTATCATCATGTATGTTATATATCAATAAATGTATTTTCAGGACGAAAAACAAAATCTTGTCAGTTTACTAAATTCTGAAGCCAAAGCCTATCGTCTGTCTGGAGGCAGTATATTTCTAGAGCCAGAAACTCTCTCCGGTTCAGGTAAACTTTATATCAGGTTGCTTTCCTTTCGTAATGTAAGAGACTTTTTTCATAACTGTATTTAGTGCTATCTTTTTTAAATTCAGTATATTGGAGCATGATGATTTTAAAAGACATGCATCCAAAACTTAAAGATGAGCGAATATTTTTGCGTGCATTGAAAAAATTATACAAAAATAGGGAAAAATATAATATATCAATTTATTGCCGAATGGAAACCATCTGGCATGACCAAAACCCTGTTTGAAAAACAAATTGATGTAGCTATATTGAATGTTGTTGTTATAAAGAACTCAAAATAATTGTAATATTGTTGACAGTGATAGCAAAGTTTTCGCAGAAATGCTATGCACAGTAGTTGGGCAGAGCTGAAGGACTGGTAAAAATACGTATTAATACCCAGCCAGTTAGTTTTTTTAGAAGGAATATGTCTACCTCGAAAATAATGCAATGTGCTCAATACCGAAAAATAATACCCAGGGTTCGTAGCGGTCCTTATAAGTCCTTATATTTGAAAATAAAATATAAAGGCCCTTATAGGTGCTTACGTTTTCTTTAAAGCCCTTATCTTTTTGTTTTTATTGCTTATTTTTTTGCTTTTAGTACTTTTTTTTTTTTTAATGAACGCGCCAAACCCCCCCCCCGTACCCCGAATTTTTCCCCGTACCAAAGCCGAAACTAAATAAACAACTTTTCTTCCTAATATGGAATGTCAGATGGTGAATCATACTCCCGGAAATAGCTTTTCCCCCTTTCTCTGCATTAACATAACCTTTGGTGTGCACGAAGAGTACAGACAGGTGCCCGTCGTTCTATTGGTCAAAGAATTGCGAAAGCAGTAGAAAATTCCGCTGCATTCGGCATTCTTTTCCTTCCACCCAAATACTACACACGTTTGAATTTCTATCAAGATCTTAAAAATTTGCATTCTCGTTCTGCTTGGTCAGTTCATATTCGTGTTTGTTATGATCGTTATGCTTATAATATGAGCATATGTATGAATGTTTATAATAACATAGTTGCAGTAACTGCTGAAGTATAGTAAACTTCCAAAATGGTTGTGTTTTAACACAGATTAGCTTTCTAAGGAATAATATTCGGAATGGCTTAAATAAAGGGAAAGTAATCGAATAGTCAAAATAATTAAATTTTTTGGCCAATATATTATACAGTACGAAGGTTGGGAGGTCTCCCCTTTCTCCGCAAAATCTTGAATATTGAAAACTGTTACAGTTCGCTGCAAAACAAGCAGCGGACTCTTTTTTTTATTTTGGTTACTTTCCGATCTGGATTGAATAGGACTAAAAGTTCTGCGGTCTACCAACCCAAGCGAAGAATAATTCTATTCCGGAAATTTAACGCCGTCTGTTGAAAATTAGAATGAAAAACACCCCAGTTATTTAGTTCTTTATTCTCCCAATACCGGCAGTTGTTGTTGATTCCGATTGCGTAATATCACGTAGGGAAGAATTACGGCGCACGTTGCGCCATAACGTTTGCGATGTTTTGCAGAGATAATTAATTTTGATGTTCAGTCCGAGATTTGTTTATGAACACTTACTTACTAACTGAAAGAGTTTTACTGTGTGTTTGGGTCTCGTCCCAAATAACACACACTAAATAAATTCGCTGGTTCGATTCTTTATTAAATCTCATAATTAATTACAATTAACTCATGGCTGTGACCAGCCCTCTTACACCGTCGATGGCGATTCTCAAAACTCGTTTGATCATCACATTACAGATGCGCATGCGTGGATTACATTACAGATGCGCAGGCGCGAACATGCCGCCCCGCGTTGCAATGCTTAGCATTCAACTATTGTAATTAAGATATAGCATAAAAAAATTAAACAAGTATATCATAAACAATTTTGAATAAGTACTATTACATAAAAATCATTATTATAATTAGACATTTACCATATACATTAGCGTACAACTCAAAGCAATACAATATAACATTTCAGTTACATAATGACATTTTATGTGAAGCACATTCAATACTGTACAATAACTATAAAGACAAATACTCATTTTTGTATTGGTAAGACACATAATTTGGTAATTGGTCGTTTGAAAGTTCCAGTTTGAGTTTTTTACATTACACACGCGAACCTTTCCATCTTTACCATAAAATACTTCTATTATACGACCAACCGCCCAATTACAACAAGGCAAATTATCTTTAATTAAGACCATGTCTCCAACTTGTATATTGGTTTTAGAACTTTGCCATTTAGATCGATTTGTAAATGACTTAAATAATTGCAGTTCCATTTTTCCAGATAATTTGTATTTTTGTGGATCTGTTGCCACAATTTTAACCTGTTAATGTTAACTTCCGTGATATCTGGCTCAGGGATCGAATTAATTGCTCTACCAATTAAAAAAATGCCCAGCTGTTAGAACCTCTAAATCATCAATGTCCGAAGACAGTCAATAGTCGGGATTTAAAATTCCTTCAATCTGAATCATAATTGTTAAAAAAATTGTTCAAATGTCAATTTGCATTACCTACAACACGTTTGAAGTGGTCTTAAAAGATTTAACTCCAGCCTCCCAAAGGCCTCCAAAAATTGGGTGCTCTGGGAGGGAGAAATTTCCATTCGATATTCTCAGAACTCAAATAACCAGCTAAAAGCTCATCTTGTTCGTTCACTAGTTTGTTAACCTCTTTAATTCTGCATTTGCCCTACAAAAATTCGTAGCGTTATCACTAAATAGTGTTAAACTTTTACCTCTTCGTGCAAAGAAACGTTTTAAGTAGCTATTAATGCTTCAGATGTTAGGTCTGTTATAAGCTCTAAATGAATGGCCTTAGTAACCATACAAATGAATATACACACATATAAACTTTTGATACATACCTTTTCTCTGATTTTGTATTTAATTAAGAAGGGCCACAGAGGTCAACTCCAGTACAATTGAATGTAAGATTAGCTGTGATCTTTCCTTGGGTAAATCACCATGATTTACTGAGCTACAATGGGATTAGCTTTATTTTAAAACATATTATACAATTTTTACAATTTTTACAAACATTTCTACCACTTACAATCCAAAATTTTTGTCTTATATGAATAACAAGATTGAGGACCCACATGCAAATATTTAAATGATAGTAATTAACTATTAACTCTGTTAATTATGTTTAGAAGGCAGAATAATAGGAAAATTTTTTCTCATAAGTTAAATTGCTATTTTTAATCTACCTCCAACTCTCAACAGTCCATTACTGTCAATGGAAGGGTTAAGACTTTTAATAGAACTATTTCTTGGAACAATACCTAATTTTTAAGATCATTTATCTCATTTATAGAATACTCACCCTGTACTAATTTTATTAAAGTTCTTCAGCTGCTCTCAATTCTCCCACTTGCAAATTACCTACCTGCTTTTGTTCTTGCTTACAATTCTTGTAAAACCTAAAATATAACTATAATACGAATTAATTTTAAATACTTATTACTGAAATTCAATAAATCATTAACAAAATTATTCACATTTAGATTTAAACATGTAGATAGTTTAGAATCAGCAAAGTTTTTAAGTTCATTACTGTTTTTTTCAGTAATTGCTTGAGGTATAATTCTTATAGGGTACTAATCCTTTATTAAGAAGTCAGGCCCGTTCCATCACAGTTTACTTACTTGCAGTCTTTTGGCAGACATACCTCTAAATATGAGATCTGATGGGTTTTCTTCAGAAGCAATATGATGCCACTGCCCTATTTCAGTCAGATCTTATATCTTTGAAATCCGGTTTGCAACAAATGTCTGGAGCAGATGTGTCTCTTTCTTGATCCGTGACAGCACAATCATAGAATCAGTCCAAAGGTGGAATAGCAGTAAGCTCCAATTTTAACGATGATTTTCACTCGATGCATCAGTTTAGCTAATAGCACTGCTGCGCAAAGCTCAAGTCTTGGGATTGTAGTCTTCTTTAGGGGGGAGACACGCGATTTACTGCACACCAACCTCACTGATGTACGGTTATTGCTGATGTTGCTTTACAGTAGATAACTGCTCCATAGGCGGCCTCTGAGGCATCACAGAAACCATGTAATTCAATCTTGATTCTATCCGGTAATAAAATACATCTAGGGACTTCAATGTGTTAATTAGCTGCAAGGTAGTGGAGAATTCTTTCCATTCTTTAGCTTCCTTTTCTGGCAAAACATCATTCCAGTTCAATTTTAAGCCATAATTTCTGCATAAATATTTTTGCTACAATTATAACTGGAGAAATTATACCCAATGGGTCAAAGATGCGAGATATGACGGATAAACACTTGCCGTTTCGTAACCTTTACGTTGTCTTCGATTTTAACGTTGAAGCTCAAACAATCTCCTTTTGACTTCCATAAAATACCCAATGCTTTAGATTCTTCTGATTTACCAAAGGGATTATGTTTTGTCGTTTGTTTGACACAGTTTCAGTAGCATTACTACACCACTTATGGAGTAACATACCTCCACTCTTTCAAAAATGCCTATTAACTGATTTTGAAGTTCTAACTCAGAACTTAGAGACTCAGCTCCAGATAGAATATCGTCCATGCACATGTCTTCTCTCAGTACAGTGCTGCTAAAGGAAATTTATCTCCTTCGTCCTTTGACAGCTGTACAAGTGTCCTCATTGCTAAAAATGGTGCACTCACAGTACCATAGGTAACGGCTGGTTACCTCAAAGTTTTTAACTGGCTTATCAATGCCTTCTTTCCATAAAATTCTTTGAAACTTCCACTGATTTGGATGGATAGAAATAGCTCGATAAATCTTTTGTATATCTGGTGTGAAAGCAAAAATATATTTCCTGAATCTCAGCATAATTGAGAATAAACCATCTTGTATCACACCGTCATTACACTGTCTAGAATTTAGAGCGTTTCCTTTGGTTGCCAAAGAAGAAGCGTTAAATACTACCCTCAAGGGAGTCGACTTACTTTTCTCTTCTCCCCTATATACTCCAATATGAGGAATGTAAAATGATCCTCG